AGAGAGAGAGAGAGAGAGAGAGAGAGAGAGAGAGATGAAGAGAGCGAAAGAGAGAGAGAGAGAGAGAAAGATAAGATACAGCATGTCAAAGAACTTATAATCTTATCATTAGCGATATGCTTCTTATCATCATCACCTCTTTATAATATTTGACGAGAGATTCTTTTGTTAGGTGCAGTAACAGCAACACTGAGCTCCGTAAGTATGCAGTTTTTTTCCCTATACTGTCTATTATTAAGGGTGACAAAAGGCATTCGTTAATAAATCACAACATACAGGACAGGGTCAGTTGTTACTCGAAGGAATCCCAAAGACAATATCCAACGTGTTGTTAACATATTTCCTCCCTCTGTCCCTCTTCCCCTTTCCACTTCCTCTTTCACTGGCATAAGTCAGCATTATTGTTGATTCTGTGAGTATTCTGTCTTTCGTCTGATCTTAATCGTCATGATTTTTTGTTGATATAATTCATTAATTTTTACATTATCAGATTCATTGTTCGTGGGCCGATTGCCTAATCGGTGTCCACGCCCACACTCGAAAAAATCTGAAAATACATGTAAGATATTTAAACGATAATTTACGAAAGAACTATAGTGGGCACAGCAGACGCACACACAATCAAACAAAAACACACGAAATCAAACGAACACGCAAACAAACACACAATCAATCAAACACAGTCAAACAAACAATCAAACAAACACACAATCATATAAACACACAATCAAACAAACACACTCAAACAAACAATCAAATAGTCAAACAAACACAATCAAACCAATGACGCAATCTCCTTTCCCTGCAGGTCAGCCGCATTTCCTCGAGGACGCGAGCAGGCGCCATGGACGACAGCGGTGCATCAGAGCCCATGTTGAATACGTCTGACGAAGGTGGGCTTGACGACGGAACTGTAAATATAATTGCTTTTATAATCTAATTGTTCTTCTTTGTAGGTATTATGTTTTTTGTTGCTGTTACTGCTATTATCATTATTATTATCATTAGTATTGTGAAGCTATGTCCAAAGTCTGAATTTTTGCTCTCAGATAGTTTTCTCAGTTCATTGCCTCCTCTCGACTCTGTAACTTGATCTTTTTCTTCAGTCGAGCCTTTTAACGTCTTCGTACATGTTTTAAATTCTTGCCCACTATTCTTTCCACATAATCTTCTTCCTCTTCTATGTTAAGAGGTTCTTCCTGTATCGTCTCCGGCCTGCCGTATGTGGTTCATTCACGTTTCATTTTTTATTGAATCATTCAGTACTGTTTGGGAATCCTCCATCCCTCTCTCCCGTGTCTGTTCTCGTATCATGTGCCCTTCATACCTGACCTTTTGCTCTGATTCCGCTGTACGAATTTCCATTATCAATATCATCACCGTTCCTATCAACACCACCATTGCCGTCACCAGCAAAAGCATTCCTTTATCAGCATCAAAATTCCTTTTGCAGTTGCTGTGGTGATCGAGGAGAGCCAACAGGATGGCGACGATACGGAATCAGACGCCCTTCCTCTAGAAATATTTCGAGAACAGCAGGGAGCGAGAGCATCCAGGTGAGATGATTAAGAGGGGGGGCGGGATGAAGAGGAAGAAGGGAGGGGCGAAGAGAGAGTGAAATATTGATGTGTCAGCTGCAACAGTGCTAAAAGTTAGATTTATATTTCTTTCCTTGGAAGTGCATGTTAGGGATGAGAGAGGGAGGAAGGGAGGGTGTGAGGGGGATGAGGCGGAGGAGGGGGATAGGGAGAGGGACGGGGAATGGTAAGGGTAGGGGGAGAGGGAGACAGACAGACAGGCAGACATGCAGACATGCAGACAGGCATATAGACAGAGACAGACAGACGCACATGAGGATTTTGTAGGTGTAAAATTAGATCATGCAGCATAAATTAGCTTAATCTCAGGAAAGATTGTCCTAATACTACATTTCTTTTCAGACTAACAAGTTCTCCAGGTCGATATACGAATAACGTTAAGGTAAAATTTCAATATAGCCTATAACACCAGCATTTCCTTTTTCTGTACAAAATAGCTCAAGTCACAGTTAATCATAATAATCATTTATTTAATCATTTATCTGCTCATCGAATGGTTATAGATAGATAGATAGATAGATAGATAGATAGATAGATAGATAGATAGATAGATAGATAGATATAGATAGATAGATAGATAGATATATAGATAGATTGATAGATATATAGATATATATATATGTATATTTCCCCTTGTTTTGCTCGTACATACAGCATGCTAATCTTAACAAAATATTATTGATTAGGATTTATATTTGAATTTCAAATGACAATAATTACTTGGGTTTAAGTGTTCTTTATCCGATACAACGTAAATTATTAAAATAATGATCAGGCATTAACTGCAGCTTTGGCAGAGAAACAGACAGATTTAGTGGCCTATTCAACAGACAAACATGCACCAGGCAGCAGAAGTAGGAGACGTGAACCGTCTCATACAACTGATACAAGAGCGACCGGATCATCTAAGCCAGCAGGACGAGAACGGGCACGTCCCTCTCCACCTGGCCGCCAGGGGATTACACCTCAATTGCTGCCAAGCCCTTCTGTCTGCCGGCCCCAGGGAAGTTAATGTGAAGGACAAATTGGGCAACACTCCCCTTCTGTTGGCGGTAACTACCGGCGACGTGTCCTTCAAGATCGCCGAGCTGCTGGTGCTCAATGGAGCCTCCGTTAAAACTGCCAACCGGGCCAAGCGAACGGCCCTGCATCTGGCAGCAGAGAAAGGCAACGACAAAATTCTGACGCTCCTCGTTGATAACTGCCTGGAGAGCGTCCATGCAAAGGAAACCGAGCAGCAAACGCCTCTCCATCTGGCGGCTCGCTCGGGCCACGTGGCTTCCTGTCAGCTGTTGGTGGGCAAAGGGGCAGACAAGGAAGCCAAAGACACGCGCGGCTACACTGCTCTGCACTGGGCTGCCAAGATGGGCTTTTCAGAGTGTTGTAGTCAGCTGCTCAAGCTTGGATCTAAGGTAAACTGTAGTGACAAGGCCGGTAATACCCCATTGCACCTGATATGCTCTTCGTCAAAGGAAAAACCTGGATGTGTTGAGGTTTTGTTTAATTACGGGGCTTCTCCTGCTATACAGAACAGTAAGGGAGAGACTCCTTTCCACTGTGCGCAGTATTCGCCCGGTGAAGTAAGGAAATTATTCGAAACGCATCCAGATATTGACCTATTCATTACTGACAACAAGGGCAAGACTGTTCTCCACTGTGCTGCAGAAAGAAAGAAAAGCAGAAATGTTGAGTTCATCCTAGCAATGGCAAAATCCCAAAACATTAACATGAAGCACTTTGTAAACATGCCAGACATTGGAGGTAAGACTGCTTTGTATGTTGCCATAGAAGGTGGGGATTTGGAATGTTGTAAGTCCCTGGTCAAAGCAGGCGCTGACGGCAACCTGGTGTTGGGAGCTCGAGGCACGTCATTACACTTAGCTGCTGAGGAGGGTCTCCGCGAGGTCTGCGAATATCTGATCACCAAAGGGATAAAGACAGACACTCGAAATAACAGCTTGATGACCCCTCTTCACCTCGCAGCCAAGAATGGCCACGCCAACTGCTGTGAAGTTCTGCTGAAGCGAGGTGTTCCATGGGCTGCCCAGGACGACCAGGGCATGACTGCCCTCCACCATGCCGCCAAAGAAGAGCAGGCGGAGTGCTGTCGGGTTATTGTAGCGCTGCAGCCGTCAGCAGTCACAAGGACAGACAAAGCTGGCCAGACGCCTTTGCACTATGCAGTCGAGAAGAACTGCTTGGAGTGTTGCCAGGCCCTCGTCACCCCTCGCTCGGATGTCTGGTGCCAAAGCAATGGCAAAAGCCCCATCAAATATGCATATGAGAAACGCTTTCACCAGATCTTCGATTTTCTTCTAAATACAGAGAATGTGGAGAGGAAGAAGCGAACCGAAAGAGACATTGATTTCCGTGATCTTCTTGAAGAATCACTTGAGCACATAAGCAGGTTAGTGATATGTACATACGATAGTGTATGGGAACGTCTATGCTATGTAAATTTGATCATGTGCACGCGTGTCTTGAAAATCGAGGATTAATATTCAGTCCCATTTAATTGAAAGTGGTGACATTATGCTATAACATCCACTGAAACATTCCAAAGTATGTCAATTTTAGATATGATTTATATGAAAAACGTAAGGAACGAAATCAAAAAGTTCTTTTTGAACAGGAATATTGCTACATATTAAATAAAATACAAAAACAGTCGAATCGAGAGTAACTACTAGTACTTCTGGAATATTCGTTTTGGTTTTACAGTGTGTACAGGTCTACTTTGTCCAGAAATATCTTGAATCTAGTGTTTCCTTTCTTAATGTGGCATTTCTTCCTTTCACCTCCCAACAGTATAGTGTGCATCTTTGTAAAGTTCAGTGTGTATTTGACTAAAAGAGCACGTATCTCTCCCCGCCAGTTCCTCCGAAGACAACATAGCTCACAGACACATAGCGAGGGCCATCATCCACAGCTGTTTCTGGGAGGAGTCCCTCAAATCCCACGGAACTCCAGGAGACCTGACCCCGCCCGAGAAACAAAAGAATGGCAACTTGAGACTCCTTGTCAAGCACCTGCCCGATGTGGCAAAGGTGGCACTGGACAAATGTATGGCAACAGATGGCAGCGTGGAGGGGGCTCACCAGTACATCGTGCGGTACTTGGATCAAGAATATTTTATCGGAGGTAAGGCTGACGCGATGACGGCAATAGAAAATGACAGAAATGAAGGTAGTGGTAATCATAATGATGATGATAATGATACCAGCAGTAATAATGATCACAGTTCTACCATTTCACCTTTTAAGAAGCTACATTTGGAATTGGTAGTATTAGGTATGATTTGCAATTAAATCTCAATTAATCATAAAAGAATGCAGTGTGGATGAAGTAAAGATAGGAATAATCAAATGAACAACAGCTGAACACACACCACCATTTCAGTCA